CGACTCGATGGCAAATAGCAACAACAACAACATACCAAATTTAGCATTATTGTGCTGCAACATAATCATAAGAATATATACATTAAATTTGAAGGTGTAAATTTAAATCTGTATCGATTCCAAATTCAAAAAAACAGGGAGCCTTGTCAGAGACAATCCCTGAGTTTATCTGGAAATTTTGATCCATATAATAAGCAGGGTGCTCTCTTTCTTGTAGCCAAATGCCAGTGCCTTATAGATTGCATAAAGCCATCTTTCTGTTTTTCAGGATTATCTATTATTTTGCAGATTAATCCCAATGCATTTTTTTTTTTTTTAATTTTCTCCTCAGGTTTAAAGCCTAAAACATTTCATGCTTTGTCATTTACCAAGGAATTGGTGACAAAAAGCAAATATGAACATCAAATAGGACTTTGTTTATTTCAATTATTTATGTTACATTGAGAAGATGGAGAATTCCAGAAGACTTAAGTGTATTCATGAAGAACCTGTACATAGACAAGAAGGCTATTGTTTGAACAGAACAAGGGGTTGAAAATCAGGAAGGGAGTGTGTCGAGGTTGTATCCTTTCACCATACTCATTCAACGTGTAGGTAGAGCAAATAATCTGAGACAGCCAGATCATATGAAGAACAACAGGGCATCAGAAATGGAGAAGGACTCATTGACAACCTGTGATATACTTGCTGAAAATGAAGATGACTTGAAGCACTTACTGATGAAGATTAAAGACTACAGTCTGCCATATGGATGAAACCTCAACATAAAGAAAGAGAAAATCCTCACAAGTGGGCCAATAAGCAGCATCATGATAAATGGAGAAAAGATTGAACTTGTCAAAGATTTCATATTATTTGTTTCCACAATTAACACCCATGGAAACAGCAGTCAAGAAATCAGACTTTGTATTGCACTGGTCTTTTGTATTGCAAAAGACCTCTTTAAAGTGTTGAAGAGCAAAGATGTCTCTCTGAAGACTATGGTATGCCTAACCCAAGCCATAGTATCTTTAATAGCCTCATATACATGTAAAAACTGGACAATGAATTAGGAAGACCAAAAAAAGTTGACACTTTTGTGTTGTGGTATTGGGAAGAATACTGAAAGTCCCATGGACTGTCAAAAGAACAAACAAACAATTCCGTCCTAGAGGAAGTGCAGCTAGAATGGTCCTTGGAAGTGGAGAATGGCCAGACTTCATCTCACCTACTGTGGTCATGTTGTCAGAAGGGACCATGCCCTGGAGAAGGATATCATGCTTGGTAAAGTAAAGGGCCAGCAAAAAAGAGGAATGCCCTCAAGGAGATGGATTGATACAGTGGCTGCAATGAGAGGCTCAGGGATAGCAAGTATTTTGAGACTGGTACGAGACTGGACAGTGTTTTGCCCTATATAGGGTCAGTATGGGTTGGAGATGACTCCATAGCACCTGACAACAACATTTCAAGCTAGAGTCCCTTCATTGTTAACCACAAGGTGGAGGTTCATGTCCACTTAGAGGCATCTCAGAAGAAAGGCCTGACAATCTACTTTGGAAAAGTCATCCTTTGAACAGCCTATAAACTAAGATACAACTATTGGTCTCTTCTCGTCTGAAGCAAAGGAGAATGAAGAAAACCGAACACTGAAGGAAGCAATTATTTAAAGGTCTAATGGCCCACATGGAAAGCAACCTGCTTTAATATGACTCCACAACTAGATGATGCCTGTGTACTGCTACCAACTGTTCTGATCAGGTACACAATAGAAGTACCTGGTTAGAGTAGGTGAAAAATGCAGAACAAAATTCAAATTCATAAATAAAAAAGACTAGATTTACTAAATAAACAGATAGTGGAGGAACCTCTGAGACTATTGCCTTAAGACAAGTTTCTCACTTGGAATTGAAGCCACTTCCAGAGACAAACTTTCAGCTAAATAATGGAAGGAAGGTTGGGCAATCTACTTCCACAGTGATACCACCTTGGAAACCCAAGGAGGGGTCACTAGGAGTTGGGTCTGACTGGATGGCACATAACAACAATGCCCCTTCAATTGCATTTTGGGAGCTCTAGTAGCGTAGTGCCTAAGGCATTTGACTGCTAACCAGAAGGCTGGCAGTTCAAACCCACCAGCCACTCTTCAGAAGGAAGATGGGGCAATCTACTTCCATAGTGATACTACCTCGGAAACCCAAGGAGGGATCGCTGTGGGTCAGGTCTGACTCAACGGCATACAACAATAACAACAACAATGAGATAAACAATGACACCGGGGAGGAATGCACTCTTTAGAAAAAGCAATTATGAGAAGGTAGGGAGGGGCAGGGTAGCCAGATGAATGGAAACATGGAACCTAGGTTAAAAATGGGAAGAGTATGGACACATTGCAAGGACTGAACCCATGTCATGGAACCATTTGCGTATAAAGTACTGAATCCAAAATTAATTTGATATGTAAACTTTAATCTAAAGCACAATAAAATTAAAAAAAAAAAAAGAAAAGAAAGACTACGCTAAGGAGCACAGTTTTACTGACAAACATGACATTCACTGTCAATCATAATCAACTTGATGACAACTAGTTTTATTTTAAATTGACTTTATTTTAGAATTATGATTCACAATTCTTTCATCTAATTTAGCATCTTTGCAATGACTGTTTCCTTGATTCTATCTATTATTGTAGGATGTATTGTTTGTACAATTTCACAATAAGTATTCATATGCAAAAATGAAGTATTTAACATAATAATTAAAAGTCATAAAAAGTTTTTAACATTCTTCAAGGTTTTTCAGACTCTGTTGTCTCTATTACATATTTTCTTAGACAGATATCATCGATATATTATTTCTATTCTTCTTGAAACTGATATATGAATTATGATTAGAAGTTAGATACTTTTAATAATATACTTTTAGAGTAAAATATATTTAAACCAACTATAACATATGAAAATCTAGTTAGGTGATCTTTTCAGAATTTTATTTTAACCTGTGGCTTTCTGCTTTGTTACACTATCCTTACTATACCAATTTCTGGAAATAGGAGTAAAGGTTTTAAACTAAGTTAGTATGAATAATTTCTTACTGGCAATTTATAAAATGGATATATAAGAAAAAACTAGACTCGGAAGTTCTAGTATTGGGAGTGATATAATCCTTAAAGAAGGAATCCCAGAGTTTTCCAATGACTGGGTTTATGTTACACTGATAAATTGTGACAAAGTAAGTCTGGAAGTAGAATCCTGTGAATATAGGTATGAAGTTCATTTTACTACAGTGCACTCATGTTATATTTGAAGTTGCAGCTGAAAACACAGGCTAATGTATGATAGATATTAGATTTTCCTGTGAGTAAAATGAACTCAGATAAGCCATATTAAGCAATAGTCCATAAGTGATCTCACATAATTAGGTCAGAGGTTGGACAGGCCACAGTCAGAAGTTCAACAAGTCAACAATTTGAGAACCAATATTCTTCTGTTTTTCATCTATGCTGCCTTTGAGTCACTTGATCATTGGGGCTGCACCTACCTCATCCTTCCTCACTCCTTGGTATCTAATACTTGGTATTTAGAGACTGCTTGGTATCTAAAAATGACAACAGCTAATATAAAATCCAAATGTCAAATGTCTAGAAGAAGATACACCTACATCTTCCTTAAATCTCATGAGAAGGCACAGAAAGAACTCCACTGTTGTCTCAGAGATCTGCACAGGGACACATGACCATGCTTCAAAGAATTTCCAAGAGGAAAAGGATTAACATGACTGATTTAGACAAAGATCCTGGTTTGATATGGGTATTGGACTCCAGCAACAAGATCTTGAAAGCCCGCTCCCCCCCTCCAAAAAAGGGAAGTAAACACAGATGGTAAATTGATTCCAACTTATACAGACCCTAGAGGATAGAATAGAACTGCTCCATAAGCCTTCCAAGGCTATAACTTTTTACTAAAACTGACTGTTATATCTTTCTGCCATAAGCAAACAAACAAACAACAACAACAACAAAAAAAAAAACTGGTGGGTTCAGATTGCCTATCTTTCAGTTAGCCACTAAGTTGCTTTAACCACTGCGTAACCAGAGCTTCTTATCAGGACCATTATACATACTTCAATGGTGGCTGGATGCCCTGAGGACTCTTTCTGGTCATGAATATTTATACATTTGTCATAATTGTTAATTTAAGTGTTGGCCTTCTTGCTTAAATGGTGAACAAGAAACAATTTGCCACAAATTATCTTTTCATTAAAAAAAAAAGTCAAGACAAAAATAGTCAAAATAAGTCCGTGAAAATAGGTTTGTTTTTCAAAGCTTTTGTTTTCTTACATCAAAAAGTGTATTACTGTATTGAGCAAATTAGTTCTGTTGTTGAAGAATAAACTATAAGCCTATACTAGTATCGTAACATTAACCGATATGGTATGTCATTTATTTTTGGAAGCCAGTCAGTGAATCCACCTTGAGTACATATTTTTTATGTCAGGTTTTCTGAAAAATTAGGAGCCTGAGGGGATCCCATCAATTTGCCAAATGTGTCACAGTCCGTTTAAAGCAGAATGGCACATGGTTGTGACAAAAGCAATGACAAATGGATATGTACTAAAGGGACAGCACCAACACACATGAATAAAGGAAATCATAGAAATGTACACAAGACAGCCACTAACATAAAATTTAACACTATAAATGATGATGAATATGTGTAAAAACAGTATCAAGAGTTAGTTAAAAGTAAGTGTATATAAGATTAATAACACTTTTTAGAATAATTTATAGTATTTTACAATAGTTCAATAATGCCAAGAATTGTGAATTCATAGATAAAATAACTTATAATATTTATATTACAATATAGATAATAGTGAATATAATATTTTGGTACTATTAAATTAAAAAAAAATTGCTTGAATTTGTTTTCTCACTTTAAGAAGTATATGTATTACTTGACGGATATACAGACACTAATAAATCACATAGATAAAAGTTAACTAGATTGTTATTGAATACTTACAAGGTGCAGATCTTTGCAGGTAGAATTGTGCTCACAAACATTAAGGATACAATCATCAATATCCTGTTCACATCTCAATCCAGCATAGCCTGGGTTGCATAAGCAGGAGAAGCCATTAATCACTGAAAATGATAAAAAAGAGAAAACTTAAAATTCCTGTGAACCATAATAAAGTTTTTCTTTTATTTTTTGCAGCAAACATTACATACCATAAATAAATTACTTTTCTTCTCAATTAACATTCCCTATATTATTTTAAGTTTAAAACACAAGAAGATAAATGTTTGTAAAATTTATGTGTGGCAAGTTACATTAACATACATAGCAATCTGAAAGGTGATATTGAAATACTTAAAAATTAGTTAAAAAAGAGGTTTCATATTTCATCATAATCCTTTAAAATAATGATCAGAATTTGTCTTCTATTTTATCACTAATGATGAAAAGAAAGAAGGATGTCTTTAAAGTATTTCAAGTATATGGTAAGAGCAAGAACTGTAGTTGGAGCAGGCATGGATTTATGTTCTCTTGGGTTCTTCATTATCCTTAAGATTTACCATGCAATATACATCCCCACTCTGCCTCTGCACATGTGTCTGGTATTATAAACCAAACCAAACTCACTCCCATTGAGTTTATTCTGACTCACAGTGACCCTCTTTGGGTTTTCAAGGTGGTAAATCTTTACAGAAGTACATTGTCTAGTCTTCCTTCCAGAGAGTGGCTGGTGGGTTCAAACCACCCATCTTCTGGTTAGCCAGCAAATACCTTAGGCACTATGTCACCAGAGCTCCTGGTATCTGCTGTTACCCTCATTAAATGCTTTAGGTCCTATGTGGCAATGTGATACTTGGAGCTGTGTGTCAACTTGGGTGGACCACAATCCTGTGTAGTTTAAGCAGTTGTGATGTGGTTATTCCCATGATGGGATCAGATGTATATGTTCTGAGCAGCCAATCCACTGAAAGGTGGTTTCCTGAGGGGAGTGGCCTGCCTCCAGTATATTTATGGACATCCTGGGAAAAGAGACACTCTTCTGTCGATCGGGATTCTGTTGTGCTGTCTACAACTGTCCATGAGCGAACAATCCACCATTTGGTCTGGAGATCTTGGATTCGTCATTCACTGGACGCATCAGGCAGTACACTGCCTGCCAACCTTGAGTTCCTCAGCTCCTGCAGCTGTGTGAGTCGGGAAAAGCCTCCAGTTTGACATTTGATCCAAGAACTTTGGACATGCCAGCTTCTCCAAGTGTGTGAGCCATTTTCCTAAGATAAATTTCTCCTTCTCTCTCTATATCAGCTTTACTGGTTTTGTTTCTCTAGAGAACCAAGTCTAACACAGGCAATAACTTTTTCAATGTACTGTGAGATATTTAGCTAGCTTCTGGATTCCTGCAGTCCTGCTCCTATGCAACACTTGTAACTGAGACCTCTAAGGAGAACAAGGTAGATGACAGCCATCAGAGACAAGAGAGAAACTCAGTAATTGGAAGCTCCTGAGCAAACATTTTATTTACCTTTTTCATCTAGCATCCTAATTTTAAACCTCTCCTATTGAGTGGCTGGTGGGTTTGAACTGCCAGCCTTCTCCTTAGCAGTCAAATGCCTTAGGTACTACACTACCAGAGCTCCTTCTTATTGAATACAAATGGTTAATAAATATACAAGTATAATTTACATGTAAATAAATTAATGAGATAAAATGTTGTCAACTGGTGCTTCTTTATACATTGTACATGGCATTATGGCTGTTAACAAATTAAAATCATTGTCATACAATATGTAATTAAGTCATTGTGTGGTACCATCAATCATTATATTTTAAAAAATATGTTTATGATAATAATTAGTTTGAACTAAGGCAAATTGGCAAATCACAAATGACTATAATCAAATTAATCTTCACTGCAGATTTAGGCATTCTCTATACAGATAAATGATATTATTTTTAAAGATAAAAAACAAGGAAGAATAATTTTGATGTAACAAAGCATCTGAAAGACATATTGGTGTTAAAAAGCAAAGCATGCTTTTTTCTAGTCAAGAAATGCGCTCTGAATGTTCACTATTCTAGACTGATTAACAAATGAACTTCATGTCAATGGAGAATTTTGGGAATTGAATTGGATACCACAGGTCAAAAAGACAAAATGAAAGATTTAAATATATAATACAAAAACATAAAAACATAAACAGAAATTGGGGGTCCCCCCATCTCTAATTCATTAACTGGGCTATGCAATAATTTATAACCATTTTATCAGAAAATACATTTTAAGCATATATATATAATTTTTAACCAGAAACCGTAAGCACTATACTCTTTGTCTTCATATCACTATTTTAAAATGACATTTTCCGATAAGCCTTCTATTATTCTGGATGCATTATTCGTTTTATATTTAAATATCTACTAAACAGCACATACTTGTTATACTGAATCAGTTTTTGGATGTGATAAAGGCTCTGTGGTGAAATTATGGATGCGAATATTTTAATGTGTCACCAATGTGGTGAGTAATGACATAATATTGTTTAGGATTGTATAAGTTTATACACATGTTAATATTTTTTTCCTATTTAGTCATGTAATGGGAGCTCTGGTGGTATAGTGCCTAAGGCACTTGACTGCTAACCAGAAGGTCGGCTGTTCAAATCCACCAGCCACTCCTCGGAAGGAAGGTTGGGCAATCTACTTCCGTAGAGATACTGCCTCGGAAACCCAAGGAGGGGTCGCTATGAGTCAGAGATGACTTGATGGCACATTACAACAACAACAACAACAGTCACATAACAAATACTATTAACTTGACTTCAGGAATTAGCTTCCTCAACTATTTTATTTTGGAAAAAGTATTAAGAATATTGTGCCATTAGATTTTATTAGAGGAAGTACAACTTCTGTGGACAAGTTTTCAGGAGAGACTGATCTCTGGAGAAGGACATCATACTAGGTAAACAGAAGGTCAGCAAAAAAGAGGATGACCTTCAGTGAGATGAACTGACACAGTGGCTGCAACAATGGACTGTAACATACCTGCTGCTGTGAGCATGGCACAGGATAAAACAGAACATTAGAACAAAACAGAACTGACTCAATGGCACTTAACAACAACAACAACACATTAAGACCTGTTTTGTTTCATGAGAACAGTGTGAGAAAAAAATAATAATAATTTGAGTATCTTCAACTAGAGCATGTACTCTGCAGTTTGCTAGAGGCCCTGCCACTTTGTTGTTTTACCTGGGCTAGTTTACCCTTACAGAAATCTGGTTCTTTACGGACATGCATTTGTAGAGCATTTGTTTTAAGGGAAGAATTCATAATTTCAGTTAAATGATATTTCAAAATAAAATGATAATAGAATGATTTTATATTGAGATATTTTTCCAGGCATAATATTATTTTAACTATTTGTTCATTTCTTGGTGATTGTGTAGAAATATATTTTGAAGGAGATAATGTAAGGTAAAATTTAAAGCTGGACAGTTTTATTCAACACCATTCTTTCTTTTTTTTTCCTCTTCTCCATTCCTCTTAGCTACTTCTATGTCCCAGGGTAATAGCAAGACCTGTTTTTCCTATGTCCCAAGAAAAGTTATCCAATTTAGGCAGATTCTTTCACAGGATTTTTTTTTTTTCCAACATTAAATCTCTCTTTGTTCTTCCTCTTTTCACCTTACTTTCCTTTGACTTTTCCCTCTTTTCTTCCTGCCTCTTTCTCACCTTCTTTTTTCCATACATTTATTCCTTTAAGAATATACATTCTGGTATGAATAAATGTTCATGTTTCACAGTTGTATGTACTAGTAATTGGGGATAAAAGCACTTCTAACACCATCAAATTATATTGTATATGTTTCCTGGTAAACAACAGATATCTTCCCCAATTGCTTATTTTGTTGTAAACATGACAACAATTAACAATAACCACTAAAATGATTAAATTAATAGCCCTTCTAAGGTTGGGCTCTGGGGCACTAAAATTACCATCAGGACTGTAATATAACTAAGTAACCCATCCACAAGTCACTAAAATTAAAGTACAGAGTGAGTATTTTTGTATTAAATTTAGAAAATGAAAATAGCAAAAGAAAATAAAACTTAGAACCATTATTGCATATACATTACCTGTATCTTAAAATGTATTTTTATACAGATTCAGTAGTCTAAACAACTATAAATACTTTTCAAATACAGGTGCTAAAATAATAAATATTTCAAATATGACTTTAAACAGTGTTTTTTCATACCTACATATGAGCATTTCAGCAATTTTATCATTTAAAGAAAGGGAATAAAAACAGTAATTCTGACATTAGAACACAGAAGTCACATCTCAGTAAATTTTCTCATTTGCTGCAATTGTCACTCACAAAAATATAATGAATCAAGTTGTGGAGGTGTTTTTGTGAAGACATTATTAGCCTTGGCTTTAACATTCAAAGGCTAAATGTCATAAACAAATACAGACATGCATTAAATAGATAAACAAAGTTGTAGTCTCATTACTCTATAACTATGTCAGAGTCTACATTTGCACTGCTCTGTTGATAATTGCAAGAGGCACATTAACTCACTGTCATAACAATATCCATGTAGGCAAGGACTGGAACTGCATTCATTGACATTAATCTCGCAGCGAAGGCCTGTGAAGCCTTTTCCACATTGACACTGGAACCCATGGGGAAAGATTTCCAAATCCATTTCCTCTCTACATACAGCTCCATTCTCACAAGGATCGCTAACCTCACAAGGTCCAAATTCACAGTTAGGACCTGGAAAACAAACAAACAAACAAAATATCAAATCGTTAATACTTATTTAATGAACCAATACCTGAAACTTCTGTCATTATTTCGGCAGACTTCCATGTATTCTGTAGACAGTGACCCACAATTCTCTGCAATAGTACTGTTATGAGTCTTATTTTCCATATAACAATTTAAGAAGAAAATGTTATTTATGATTTCTATGCTTCATGTAACTGAGTACCAGCAGGCAACAATGTTAAGTGACAACATTTTTTAAAAAATATCATTTTGTTTTTTCATACTTCCCACCTCTGGTTTAACAATGTTCTCTGAAGACATTATAATTAAGAAGGTGTGTTATTAAA